CGCTGAGGACCGCGGGTGGCTGACGCCGAGTGCTCTGGTTGTCGCTGGCGGGCGCCCCAGAGCAGCCCGGCGATTGCGGTGGCGCACCCCGCTTCCTGGCCCACGCGCCTCCTCGGCGACGCGAGACACCTCCCTCACAATGACGCGAGACGTGGCCGAGAACGGGTCGAGCCGGCGGCCAGGATGGACGCGGACCAGGACGGCACGAGCCAGTGGCCGGGCTGGGCGTGACCGAGGACGGCGTGAGCCAGCGGCCAGCATGGAGGCGGCCGAGGACGGCGCGAACCAGTGGCCTGGCTGGGCGTGACTGAGGACGGCGCGGGTTGGCCAGCGGCCAGCCGTAAGCGTGGGCTTGGGCTGTGCACCCAGCTGGGGCTAGCAAGGGGGTCCACTTGCGTGCCTGGCGGGGTTCTGCCTCTGCGCAGTGGTGCCGGACGCGTTGCGACGAGGTTCGGTGGCAAACATACACGCGCCACACATGCACATAGACACACCCACGCACACACAGACACAGAAACAGATACACACACAGACACCCACAGACACACACAGACACACACACATACATACATACAAACATACACACAGACACACACAGACACACACAGACACACATGGACACAAGCACACACAGACACACAGACACAGACACAGACAGAGACACAGACACACACAGACAGAGACACACACAGACACAGACACACATAGACACACGCAGACATACAGACAAACACAAACGCACATAGACACAGACACACACAGAGACACAGAGACTCACACAGACACACACACACAGACACACATAATTAGACACTCACAGACACGCACACAGACAACAACACACATAGACACACACAGACATAGACACAGACACACATACAGAGACACCGACACACACAGACACACACACAGACGCACACAGACACAGACAGACAGACACACACAGACACAGGCACAGACACCCACATACACACAGACACACACAGACAGACAGACACACACACAGCCACAGACAAACACAACACAGAGACAAAGACAGACACACACAGAAACACACACAGACTCACAGCAGGCACACACAGTCACACACAGACGCAGCCACACACACACAGACAGACACAGACACAGACACAGACACACACAGAAACAGACACACAAACACGCACACAGACACAGACACACACAGACGTAGACACACAGACACACGCACCACACACACGCACCACACACCACACACACACACACACCACACGAACACGCACTACACACCACGCACACACACACACCCCACACCACACACCACACACACCACACGCACACCACACACACCATACACACCACACACACCACAGACACACACTACACACACCACACACCACATACACACCACACACTCCACACACACGACACACACCACACACACCACGCACACGCACGCACCGACGCACGTACGCACGTACGCATGTATACATACGCACGCACACACACACACGCACGCACGCACGCAATCACACACCACACACCACACACACCACACACACACCACACACTCCACACACCACACAGACACCACACACACACACGCACCACACGCACACCACACACCACACACACATCACACCACACATCACACGCACACCACGCACGTACACGAACCCAAGCACACACGCACACGCACACACGCACACACGCACACACACACACGCACACACGCAGACACGCACACAGGCACACACACACACACACGCACACACGCACACGCGCACACACACGCACAGGCACACGCGCGCACACCCACGCACGCACACACGCACGCACGCACACACGCGCGCACGCAAAGACGCACACACGAACGCACGCACACACGCACACACGCACACACGCAAACACGCACACATGCACACACGCACACAGGCACACAGGCACATATGCACACAGGCACGCATGCACACACGCGCACACGCACACACGCACACACACACACACACCCATCACGCACACGCGCGCACTCGCACACGCGCACACACGCACAGAGTATACACGCACACACGTACACACGCACACACGGCATACACGCACACACGATATACACGACACACACGCACACACGCACACACGCACACACGCACACGCACACGCGCACACACGCACACACGTACACACGCACACACGCACACACTCACGCACGAACACACGCACATACGCACACGCACACACGCACACACACACGCGCACACGCACACGCACACGCCACACACGCACGCACGCACACACGCACACGCACACACGCACACACGCGCACGCGCACACACACACACGCACACGCACACACACGCACACACACACACACACACGCACACACGCTCACACGCACCACACGCCAACACACACACGCACACACGCACACGGGCTCACACGCACATACATACGCACACACGCACACGCGCACACGCGTACACGCGCACACACGCACACACACACACGCACACACGGACACACGCACACACGCACACACACACGCACACACGCACATACGCACGCACGCACACACGCACACACGCGGAGGTGCGCACGAGCGCACACCCACACACGCACACACACACACGCACACACACACACACACGCGCACACGCGCACACGCAGACACGCACACACTTACACGCGCATGGAGGCACACAGGCACACACGCACACACGCACACACACGCACACACGCACACGCGCGCATGCGCGCACATGCGCGCAACCGCGCGCGCACACGCGCTGACGTTCCTACGTGTTCACGTGCTTACGCGCTTTCGCGCACGCGCGCGTATTTTTTGACGTCGCAGCGCGGCGGAGGCAGTCCGCTCGCGCGTTGTGGCATGCCGAGTGACGGCACTGCGAATTGTCCGGACGCAAGACGCAGGTCGGGGAAGGAAGGGGCGGCCGCGGGAAGAGGGGAAGGAGCTAATGCGCTCGCGCCGCAGGGGCCGCGGTGGGGCGCCCAGGGCGGTCAAGCCTGTGCTGCGCCGCTGGCAGTGGGCACGGGGCGGCGTCGCGACCGCGCCCAGGGGCCAGGGCAGCAGCCACAGTGGCGCACCACACGCACGCATGCACGCGCACACGCTCACGCGCACACGCGCACACACGCGCACACGCACATGCATACACGCACACACACACACGACACGCGCCCACACGCACACAAGCACACACACACACACCACACGCGCACACGCACGCACGCACACACACGCGCGCACACGCACACGCGCACAGACGCACACACGCACACACGCATGCACGCACACACGCGTGGTTGCACGCAAGCACACGCACACACCCGCACGCACACACACGCATACACGCACACGCATTCACGCCAACATGCACACACGCACACACGCACACAGGCACACACGCACACACGCACACACGCACACACGCACACGCACACACGCACACACGCACACACGCATGCACGCACACACGCACACACGCACACACGCATGCACGCACACACGCGCACACGCACACACGCACACGCGCACAGACGCACACGCGGCACACACGCACACACACACACACTCACACACATTCATGCACGCACGCATAGACGCACACACACACACGCACACACGCACACACGCACACGCACACACACACACACGCACACACGCACACACGCACGCACACACATGCACGCACACACGCACACACGCACACACGCATGCACGCACACACGCGCACACGCACACACGCACACGCGCACAGACGCACACGCGGCACACACGCACACACACACACACACACGCACTCACACACATCCATGCACGCACGCATAGACGCACACACACACACACGCACACGCACACACGCACACACGCACACACGCACACACACACACACACGCACACGCACACATGCGCGCACGCACGCACACCCGCTCGCGGACGCACACACGCACACACGTGCTAACGCGCATTCGCGCACACACGCGCGCACGCACACACGCACATGCTCGCACGCGCTCGCACACGCACACACGCGCACGCACGCATGCACACACGCACACACGCACACGCGCATACACGCCAACGCGCACACATTCACACACGCACGCGCGCACGCACGCACACACGCACACACGCACACGCGCACACGCACACACGCACAAACGCACAAACGCACACACGCACACACGCATACACGCACACACGCACACACGCACACACGCACACACGCACGCACGCACACACGCACACGCGCACACGCGCACACACACATGCACGCACACGCGCACGCGCTCACACGCTTTCACGCGCACATGCACATGCGCACACACACACGCACGCACACACGCACACGCGCATGCACGCGGACACACAAACACACACGGATACGCGCACACACGCGCACATATACACGCGCACACACACGTATGCTCGCACAGACGCACATGTGCACGCGCGCATACACGCACACGCGCACAGAAGCATGTTAGGTCACGCGCACGCACACACGCATGCACGCAAGCACGCGCACACACGCACACCCGCACACACGCACACCCGCACTTGCGCACACGCGCACGCACGCACGCACGCACACACACACACACGCACACGCGCACACACGCACAAATGCACGCACGCACACGCGCACACACGGACGCGCGCGCACACGCACGCACGCATACACGCACACACGCGCACACGCACACACGCACACACGCACACACGCACACGCGCACACACGCACGCGCACACACGCACACACGCGCACGTACAGACGCGCCCACACGCACGCACGCACACGCGCACACACGCACGCACGCACACGGGCACACACGCACGCACGCACACAGGCAGACACGCACACACGCACGCACGCACACGCGCACAAGCACGCCCGCACGCATTAACACTCGCACTCATGCACGCATTTTTTTGCGTCGGCGGCTAGGCAGAGTGACTGCGCTGGCTGAAAAGCAGAAGTTTGACGAGGAATTGCGAATTA